CTTATCCGAGTACAGTTTTAAAGTTATGTATCGTCCTGGAAAAAATCATTCAAATGTAGATGCGCTGTCAAGAATAAAGTTGGTTAGGTTAATAAATGCTACGGAAATTTGGGACCCAATGTGGAGTCGTAACGAAGTAAAAAACTTACAAAAGGCAGATGCGAGCTTAAAAACTATTTATAATGCATTACACTTAGGCAAGGGGAGTAACTATTATTTGGATATAGACGGATTATTGTATAAAAAATCAAAGGATCAGCGCTACGAAGATATGTTAGTGGCTCCGGCAACGATGATCCCATCCATAATGAAGGCGTACCATGATTTACCACTTTCAGGTCATGTAGGAATAGACAAAACATTAGAAAGGATTAACAAACATTTTTATTGGCCAAAAATGGCCGAGGACATAAAAAATTACGTAAACGCATGCATACCGTGCGCGAAAAGAAAAACATCACCGCATATTAAACCGACACTTTTACAAAAATTTACTATACCACCGAGACCTTTCTACAGAATAGCAATGGATGTTGTTGGACCGTTGCCGGTAACCGATCAACAAAATAAATACATATTAACCATCCAAGATGCATTGACTAAATACGTAGAAGCTTTCCCAATGAAAGACCAAACAGCAGATACGGTAGCCAGAACTTTTATTACAGGGATAATTTTAAGACACGGAACGCCCAAACAATTATTAACCGATTTAGGAACTAATTTTACCTCAAAACTCTTCGAAAAAATGTGCAACCTTTTGAAAATTAAACATTTGAAAACGACTGCGTATAGACCGCAATGCAACGGAGCATTAGAAAGGTTTCATAGGACATTAAAAGATTTATTGTCACATTACGTTCAACCGAATCATAGAGACTGGGATATTTGGCTACCGTTCGCTTTAGCATCGTATTGTTCCTCAACACATAGCGCCACAGGTGAAAATCCTTTCTTTTTATTGTTCGGTAGAGATATGGATTATCCATATGACGAGATGTTCAAGCCACTACAGGTAAAGTACGATAACGACGTAAATTATGTCTCGGAATTTTTAAATAGGATGAAAATAGCGCACAAAAATGCAATAGATATGATAGAGAGAAATACAGAAAGGGTGCACGACACATTTAATAGAAAAGCGGAATTACACAAGTTTAAAATAGGAGATAGAGTATATGTGTTCGATCCGTCAGATAAGCCAGGAATAAGCAGGAAATTAACAAAGAGATGGAAAGGACCTTATAGAATTATAAATTTAAATAACGTTACCGCCGAGGTAAAAGAAATACACGGGAATAAAATAGACAAAGTACATGTTAATAGATTAAAATTATGCCTAGCAACGGAAAATCAGGTAAATCAAATGGGACTTATACCCATTAAGGTAAGACAAACGAACGATTTAAACAAGTATCCAACGATCGGATTGTATACCGAGGAAGACCCCGAGCATATACCAAGGAAAGTTAATAATACAATAACACAATCGTCCAGTTCACAACATCAAGAAATTAATTCTTCAGCAAGGGATAATAATTTTTCTTTCAGGAACATTGATAATAATCCAAATCTAGTTTTCAGTAAAGATCCCCCTGTAGCTTTCGATCAGCAAGTAAACCCAACAAATACGGAGACAGCAACAAATTCAACAGCCAAAGTGAGGTCCTCTACACCAACCAGGAAAGAAAAGCCGACCGAGTTACATCCCATGGTTCTGCGTAGCAGAGGGAAGGCCGAAACACAGCCATGGATGTATAAGAGAAGAAAATAAATATCGTTAAACCAAAATATTTTAGATCCTCATTTAGTTTTCGAAATGTTTTAGAAATGTCCACCACGGGGGTAATCAAAAGAAGAAGGCGGAAATAACAACGAGCCAACAAATATGCATCCAAGGAGAATCGCACACAATCAAAAGTCCAATCAGACCGTCCAAAGAATCCAATTGGACCAAAGCGGCCTGTTCCAGCCTATCACAGCATCCCAGACGTACCATGCCAAGATGTAAACGAAGAAGACGACCGCACCTCAGGAACAACAATATTGCAAAGGGACGCAAAGAAGTTCAAAAAGAAAGAAAAAGAAGCCAATAGCCTAGAAGAAAGAAAAGTTATGACGAACCCAGCAGTTAGAACGATTTAAGATGATTAGCCACAAAATCATTCTATATGTCAAACGTTACAATGACTAAAGAACCTTGAAGAATACACCAGCAGCATAGCAGATGCAGGAAATAGCAGCAACAACCCCGGTAGCAATCCAATCATCAGCGCCAACACCTACAAGTACAAGGAGCAACGTTGGAGAAAAACTAAACCAACCTAGAAAGTGCAGAGACGAACAAGTGAAGTGTTTGGTGCGTGATACAGTGACACAAACATAGTGAGAGTTAAAGAACAGACCAAGCCTGAGTGAAATCATGGACTAGGGAAAGACTAATTAGTATAGATTTAAGAGGATTGTACACCTTATATTTAGTTTGTTAGTTTTAGTTTAAGTTGCTTGGTTTTTTAACGAATCAATTTGTTATTTTGCAATTTTTTTTTATTGATTCGTTTAAAAAGGGGGGAGTGATGTAATAGGGTAAAAATCTGAAGTTTCACTAAATTTCAAAGAAATGGTTGTTTTGAAGAATTAAGAAATTTAATACTTAGAAGGATTTTTAAGAGAGCCAGATGTCACTTGGGGGGGCCTAGGAGCATGTTTTGGAAGTAATAAATAAATAGATAGAAAGTTTCTTTGTCCCCGAAACGCGCACTAAAAAGTAGCCAGATGATGTTTTTCTTGGAAAAAGCCTTAACGCTCAATTGAAAACGCTTCCCTTTGTTTAAATCGATCGTTGGAAAATTAAATAATAGAGAAAGTAGTTAAAAGAATAATAACAAATTTATTTAGTTAATAATCATTTAGATTAAAGAATTAGGACTAAGATAAGGATATAACCAGCCGTATAGTAGTTTTACCGATAGGTTTTAAGAATTTAATGTAACCCGAGAAAATTGTCTAATTGTATAACTTAGGTTGAAGTAAAAGGGTAGTTAGTAATTGCAGACATAGGATATTTTAATGTTTTGGACTTTGTTAACAGATTTAAATTTTTATAGAAAATAAGTAACTTTGTAGTTAGGCAACCCCGAATTCACCCTAAAGTCAGCGTTAAGTAGGGGTAGAAATTTCTCACTGCACGCCTCTGATTGGCCAGAAACTTCAACCCTGAGGCAAGTCACGCCCTCGACTTAAGAAAGTCTTTAAATACTCTGTACCACAGGGTTTGACAGATTTTATCTTGCAAGATTTCGCGCGCGTCGTTTCCGAGTTCGAAGGTCGAAGTTCTAGCCAGTCAGTGTAATTAATAAAGTCAGGTATATTGTTAAGTTTATTGTAAAATTGCTTATACAGGTGCTCGCAGTTACGTTCACCTTAAGTGACCGGTTTAGTTTAAAATTTGTAGTTTAAAGTATTAGTTTTATAAGATTCATTTAGGTTACCTTTTTCTAAAGTTAATTTAGTTTTCGCTTATCAGTTTAATTCAAAAGTTAGTTTTTTAATCTTAATTTCTCCGTAAATTCTTTGTTAATTTTCTTTACCGTTAAATTATTAATTTTTCTTATTTCCTTTGTTAATTTTTATTCTTCTTCTTAATTGTAAATATATTGTTTGTGGTTAGAATCGGCTGTGTTTCTTTGGGTACCTGTTAATTCTAATTACCCAGTGCTTGGCAAGCGTAAGTATATCGGGATTCGCGAAGTGTTCCGGGAGATCCGTCGCGAGTGACTTAGTGTGGTAATTCGTGCTTATTGGGATTACCAAATCATCGGCAACCGTCGCTGGATTAAAGGTCAGATTAGTGGTAACATCCTTGTAACGGACTGATAGTAGTCTATATCAGCCCCGCTCCCCGCGTTAATTAACCCAAAAAACCACCCGTTACAGTGACTCAAAATAGCGTAGGATGATACCAACTCTTGACTCCGACTATTTAAATGCTTCGGCATTTTAAATATAGAAAAAACAAAAAAACGATATATAACAAACACAAAAACGGAAATGAAAATTTAAACGATATAAAATAACAAAAACAACAAACAAAATAAACGAAATTATACTCAAATTAAACGAAATATTCAAAAACACAACTGACAGCTTTAAAATTCTACAACGTCAATTTCTTTTTCTAGGCGTCATTTTATTAAGCAAAATTTTAATCTAAACATGACAACATTGCAATTGCCGCCAACTAAAGTTGTTTAAAATGCATTAAAATATTCAATTACAGACTTCGTTTATACAATGTCATTTAGTGTTGGTACCAGTGCGCAAAATTATGACGTTACTTTATATGATTACATGTAAACAATAAACAAAAAATAAATGGCTTAAACTTATATTTGTTTTTACATAATGAAGTTAAAATTTTGACAGCGCAAGACCCTACAAATGTTTTAGAGTGAAGCTGTAGTTAAATATGCTAATTTTGTCTGGTTTAATTAATATGTAAAACCTTCTCCCCGTTTTACCTAACATACCTTAAAGTTTTACGGGAAAAATGAAATGAATTAAATGGTTAATTTTAACTTTTAATATTACTCAAAGTATGAGAAATTTAAGTCATAAATCTTCAATGCACCCAGAAACTTTATTTTTGCATTCTTAATGTTAAAAAATTACAAAAATAAAATGATTTTAATGTAAGGAAACTTTTTGAAATAATTCAAACCTACCTCAGTATAAAAGAAGAGAGCGTTTTAACTTAGTGAATTGTATATTTTACACAAACGAACTTTATATTAAAATATGTTTTATAATGAATTTTGTCTATAACATTATATGTTTTGTATCCCTATATATTAACATTTTCTGTCTTTTATAAATTACTTAAGGTTAAACTATAGTGATATAGTTATATAATATCATGTAAATCATTTTGATTATTTAATTAAAATGATGAAATATAAACTACAAAGTTACAGAAATTAAACTATTAAACATGATTTCAGAAATATTGTGTTATACGGAACTCTTGCGCCAACATTGGTCGTGCTCATAATATTCGTGTACCTTTGCTGGTTGGACGGTTGTTGTGGACCGAGACCACCCTCGGATACACCAATGGACGAACCATGGGACTGTTCACCACCAGGTCAAATAGTCGCTGAAAGCAGGTGTCTACGATTGGCGATTTTCCTGGTGTCTGTTACGCTTATATCCATATGTGCTGTTATTACATTGGTAAGTATGTTTTTCTGTATTTATTATTTCATCATTTTTTTTTTATTTATAAAATGTATTATCTAGAATGGTTGTAAATTAATTAAGGTACACCATTTATTTTCGTAACACGATTCTTAAGTATACAGAAGTACTAATTTGGCATAGTGGTGATCATCTAGTTAATTTACTTACTTCATAAAAATTAGTACTCTACGTTGTGTATTACGTTCATTGATAATATCGTTATTTTGAAATTGGCGAGGATTTTAAACCCCTGATTTAATTTAAGCAAAGACAAAGGCTCATAGCATAGGAAAAAGGAACCATAAAACCCTAACGACTTAAACAGTACAAATAAAAATAACCTACAAGACAAAACAAAAGCATATTGGTCATAATCACAAGAATACAGTATAAATCATAAGTAAATAAAATAACATGAAAAGTGTATAAACAAATTTAATATAATTTGGGTATTTTATAAATATGCTAAAGATTTTATACTTAGGTAGTCATTATAAGGGATTGCACTTTTTAAACGAAAACACAAATATAATAAAGATACAAATAAAATTAATAATATGCAATAAAATAAAATGATGTAAAACACAAATACAAAGCAATATAATCGTAAATAGGAGAGCGCTTTAACAAGAAACACCTAAACTTGGCCAAAAGTCTAACCACAAGAACATAATAATATAAAATTATTAGAACCAAATATAGTAACGTAAAAATCATCAAATATTTTAAATAAAGCGCTTAGATAAGTAATTTAAATCTAAATCTCTACCCAGAATCTATCAAAATGCTAAATGGTTTTTCACACCCTGTACCTATAATAACAATAGCGATAATTGTAATTATGTAACGATACCGATACTTACAGCAAATAAGTAACAAATATGTTTTTAGAGGTGTTTGTACTTTATTTTAAAGGAAAGGAGAATAAAATAATAAGAGTTTTAATTAAATTAAAATTAATAACTTTTATTTATTATAAAAAAAAATTATTTATTACAATCATAATTTTCATTTTATAATAATAATAATATTTAAGAAAATAAATATTTATATCAGTTATTTACATTGTTTTACGGTATATTAAAAAAAAATTGTTTAATACTTTGTTAATAATTAAAATTTACCGTTGAAAGATAATTATTTAGGAAAGGAAGTTTATTTAAATTATTTGTTTGTACTTTATTTTAAAGCAAAGGAGAATAAAATAATAAGAGTTTTAATTAAATAAAAGTTAATATTATTATATTAATATTTAATAATAATATTAATAATATTATATTAATATTTATTATAAAAAAAATTAATTATTACAATCATAATTTTCATTTTATAAAAAAAATAATATTTAACAAAATAATCATCAAATAAAAAAAATTTCTATCAGTTATTTACATTGTTTTACGGTATATTAAAAAACTATGTTTAATGGCTAATATTCATTTAATACTTTGTTAATAATTAAAGTTTACCTTTGAAAGATAATTATTTAGAAAAGGAAGTTTGTTTAAATTATTTGTTTGTACTTTATTTTAAAGGAAATGAAAATAAAATAATAAGAGTTTTAATTAAATTAAAATTAATAACTTTTATTTATTATAAAAAAAATTTATTAATACAATCATAATTTTCATTTTATAATAATAATAATAATTAAGAAAATAATCATCAAATAATAAATTTTTCTATCAGTTATTTACATTGTTTTACGGTATATTAAAAAACTATCTATAATGGCTAATATTCATTTAATACTTTGTTAATAATTAAAGTTTACCTTTGAAACATAATTATTTAGAAAAAGAAGTTTATTTAAATTATTTTCAGACAATCTGTTGCGCAAATCGTTTTGGATAAGGCCTGCAGTTGAAAAAATACGTTCTGAGGTAACTGATCTTAATTGATAAGACAAGTATGTACCTTTGCGCAATCTTTTTCAAATTTGGATATTTTTCCTTATAACGCCAATTATTATAGTTCTTTGGATCATACTTTCTTGAAATATTTGAACTTTTCAAATAAGATAGCACCTCTTCTTGCCGGGCATTCTGTTCAGAAGTGTTAAAGTAAAAAGTGTGTTGTACTTGTATATTTTTATAATTGAAGTGCTTATTTAACAAATGGTTTTGTTAAGTTTTTAAAGAGATTTAATTATTTTTGGACTTCTTTATCGCCTAGGTTTAAGTGTTAAAAATTAATAAATCTTTATAGTATCATATAGTTGGTTTAAGAATTTAGAAATTTAAATACTGCATTTAATGAAATTCTTAAGATTATGCTGCCAAATAAGTAATATTTTTGTGCATTTCATCTAGTTTTCTCCATAAAAAATTTTAACATATCTTTATGTAAACTTTTAATTTTACTGTTTTTACTTAACTACATAAATAATATACAGGGTTTTCATTTTAAAACGAACCACCTTAAATATCTTTTAAATTAAAAGAATTTTAAAAAATCCAAAAAATACGTCGAGTTATATAAGAAGGGGGAACTTCTATCACATTATTTAATTTAATATAGTGCTCACCCCCCTCGCGCCCACCCACCCCCACTTTAAAATTTCAAATGGAACCCCCCTACAAGTGACACCTCATTTTGAAGAGCATAAAATTCTCTATCCAATGGTGTGAAAAAATAGTAAATCGGATGGCTATTTAAGGATCTGGAAGATAAAATGTGTGCTGTAAATAGAAAAAAGTAAAAAGGTTTGTATATTTTTATTTTTAAATTGAATACATTTTTTACTTTATAAATTGTTCGAAATGTTCGCCGTTTTTCGCTAGGCAATAGTAAAGTCGATCTTGAAATTCTTCGCGGACACGGGCTAAAATTTGAGACGAAATACTTCTACACTCTTGTGTATCCCATTTTAATGTCTTAATTTTAAACTTACTAGGAGCAATGTAGAAAATGAATTAATGATAAAAGTGACAGTTTAAATGTTTTTAAGGACATTTTTATTACCTTTTGCACAAAAAGTTACCTAAAAACAATATTGTTTTTACCTTATTATTTTATCTTATCAGCACACATTTTATCTTCCAGATCGTTAAATAGCCATCCAATTTACTATTTTTTCACACCATTGGATAGAGAATTTTATGCTCTTCAAAATGAGGTGTCATTTGTAGGGGGGTGCCATTTGAAATTTTAAAGTGGGGGTGGGTGGGCGCGAGGGGGTGAGCACTAGATTAAATTAAATAATGTGATAGAAGTTCCCCCTTCTTATATAACTCGACGTATTTTTTAGATTTTTTAAAATTCTTTTAATTTAAAAGATATTTAAGGTGGTTCGTTTTAAAATGAAAACCCTGTATACTCTTTTATACATATTATGTATATTAGAATGGGTAGAATATCCGCTTTTTTCAAAATTAATTTGTTAATAGCAAAAATATTGTGGGCAAAGAAAATAGCTATTTGTGTATTAAGAGCGCAAAGTAATACATTGTCGCTCTGAGCGAAAAGTTTGTCGCTCTGAGCGAAAAGTTTGTCGCTCTGAGCGAAAAGTTTGTCGCTCTGAGCGAAAAGTTTGTCGCTCGACGAACGACCAAGTAAAAAACGCTCGCTCCTCGGAAAAGTGCAACTTTGCGCTTTCTTTTGAAGCGCAAATTTGTACTTTTCGCTTGGTTGTAGAAAAAAAATGTTGGTCGACAAAGTAATAATAGTATATTACTCTTAAAGGGCCGAAACTTGAATTTTCGGTATCATGACGCGCAGGACCGAGATTTCAACGTTTGGCTCGTGTGGTCTATACTATTTTTCTTCATATATGTATACATCGGTCGAAAGTACGTACTTTCGTCCCTAATAGCACAGGGAGTAAATGTTAAGCTTTCGTCCCTGCTATTAGGGACGAAAGTAAGTACTTTCGAACAAGGTATGAAGAAAAAATATTTTTTATATATTTTTTTAATTAAGTTAGAAATTTAAATTGTCTACAAAAAAACATCCTTTTCAATTATCGCGATTGGCAATAAGCCTAAGATATTGACCAAATATTTTTCCTTTCGTATATATATTTTTTTCACCTTAATGAACAATATTCTTGTTATTATAAAATTAATTTTGAAAAGGCGGATATTTATAGAAAACAATGGTGCAGACTTGAGCTAAAAAACTAGAAATAAGATCGTGGCCTGGTGTTATTTTGTAGGATAATTTTTGCAAGGTTTTGGTAATTTTAGATTCTGAAATCATAGAAATAGTTACACTGGATTATATGACAAACTTGGAGGGTTTGATTTGCAAAATTGAGTTCTTGGTAAGAAGACGCTCTCAAAAAATGATGCAAAGCCATTGACAATTTCATCTGGTTTAAAGCATGTTCAATCTGCCAGCCTGACAGGTATTCTGGATGATTTGTTTTTATTATGTATATAATTCCAAAAGGTTCCAGAATCTGAATCTGACAATTTCTGTAACATAATGCAATATCATGTTTTGTTGTTTTCCGGAGTCTAAAAAATGCATTGTTATAGTAGTCGCATACAGTTTTTATATTTTTTATTATAGGATGATTTGATTTTTAACGTTTTTATCGAACAAGGCGTACAATTTGTTATACAACTCATCACTCTACTACAAACACTCAAAAAATTACAATTAATATATTAATAAGTTCACCATATAAATTCATCCGCCTTCATAAAGTTGTAATTTCTATAACTGGGGTTTTAAGGGACAATATTTAAAAAATTTAAATGTTAATAATTGTGATTTTTTGCCATTAGTATTGCTGGAGATAAAAATAGGTGTATTAGTCAACAACAATGAGTAAGTTTCTTTGCTTATAAGTAAATTGTTTTAGACTTTGAAAGAAAAACTGTTTACTGGTATCGATTTATACACAAGAACTACACCACATTATCGAGTAGTACCCATTTCTTCAAATTAAGTAGTACCCGTTTCTTCAAATTAAGGATCATTACATTTGGAAATAATTCAGTACTGTTAACTTCACTAAAAAGCCATGTTTCAATGGTAAAAATTATACACTTTGCTGTTGAGAACTCGTTCATTTAGAAAGTGAAGTTCATGGCAAACATATTAGATTTTGTTGTTTTTGTGTTAAATTAATAATTTTGTGACCGCCTTTAATATTACTAATTCTTAAACTGGTTTCTCAATTTTGCATCCGCTCTTTTATTTTTATTCTAACTGCTTTGTCGGGGCGTACGATCCGGAGAGATACGAATGATTGATAGGTCCTTTTTTACCATATTGAGAAAGCATGATTCAGTTTAAGTTTTATTGGCCCTGGAGAACTATTTGTAGGGTCAAATTTTTTTCAATTTAATAGGTTTGGTATGTTCTAAAGAAATTCTTGGTTGCAAATACTTTAAAACCTGCCTTGATGATGCTTTATCAGTGATAAATTATCACGTTCGGCCCTTTCAGTACGTTCGGCCCTTTCTTGTTGCGGTTCTAAAATAATTATATGAAATGTGATAATATTTCATTTTATAATATTTCTCTCGTTAACTTCATTAATGATTTCCTCAAAATCAAAACTATCATTGGGTTTATCATTGATTGTTGTTTTTAATGATTCAACTTCAGCCTTTAAATAGTAAATGGTAATCTTAAGGGCATTTTTTTTATCCACTAGTTGTGACCAATTCTGCCAAGAAGCTACTTGATTTTTTGGTGACATTTTAAACATATTGGAATTAATACCAAAGATTGGTAAAAAATTATAAGATTTACAAGACCGTACTGGAATAGGTCAAGGGCGATCCTTAATCTAATGTTACGGTTATTTATATTTTTGTAGTATTAATCTTAATTTTGTAAAAATTGTCAGTTGTCAGTTGCGAGGATCTGGTTTAAATATAACAAATTACATTAATAATTTATATTTATAAAACTTGTGTGTGTTAATATCTTGATTCTAATACCCTGAGATCTCATGGTATTAAATCTTTATAAGACGAAAATAATCGGTTATTTACATAGGTTATTTTCATATGGGTCAGATATTTTTTTTATTAAATTAACCAGTTAACCGAAAACCGAAATGGTTTTTTTTAATTGGTGTATTGGCCGCTGCGCATAAATAAACAGCGTTTATCTCAAAAATGACAAGATTTTACCGCATGTGAACTATATAAATAAATAAAAAATAAACTAAAGTCTAAAATAATTTATAACAAAAAATCAATACAAATAGAAAACACTTTAAATAACGCTATAATAAATATTAATCAAATAAAAATATTTAAGTTTTTAATTTATTATTATTTACTTACTCTGTATTGTAAACTACAATAAATCCAATACATACAGAGGATTTTTTATATTCCTTTATAAAATTAAATAAAATATAGGGTATTTTATAATATAATAAATATTATAAAAGTTTTTAATTTGTTAAAGTTTAACACTGGAAAGAGAATTACATTGCAGTCATTATGTGGTATAATATATTTTTACTACTTCCACCTTAAAAACGTCCATTATCGTACATGTTTCCATGACACTAAGTGACCTTTTAAATACACATTGAAAAGTTGTTGCTTTATGGCGTTTTAGTCACGGGCTGAAGTTAGCAACAGGTTTTTAGTCACGGGCTGAAGTTAGCTTTAAGTTAGTTGACAGTTGTCAAATGTCATACAATCGTTAAAATAAAGTGCCCTTCTTGTAAAATAATACTAAATGTGAAAATTATTTTATTATAGCAATACAAAAATACAAAAGCATTAAATAGTTTCTCAACGCCAATAATTGAAAAGTTTATATGAACATTGTACTGACCTTTTAATTTCGCCGGCAGTAAACTACAACTTAAATTCGGGCTCGGACTCCACTGTAAAGTGCTCATAAAACATTTTCTTTACTTTCACTGTGAAAAACTGTCAATTTTCAAGAAATCTATTCGATTTATAACCTTTATATTATAATCTGTGTTTATAAAATAATAAAAATGTGACATTTGGCATGACACACAGATTGTTTCATAGATGGCGCTCTATACAAATTTTTGATTTAAATCATTTTAAGATAATAATAAGTATTCGTTGTAGAAAAAGTATAGTATGCACCTCGTTTATAAACTTTTCTATACAATCATTAATTTAAGCACTCGCTCGCAAGCTCGCTCGTGCCTAAATTAAATTCGTGTATAAAATCGCGTTTATCAAACTTGATACATAATATATTATTTTGTGTACGTCTTAGATAAAGCATAGTATGCAACTAGTTTATAAACTTCTTTAGATACTCTTTTTTATTAAACTCTCGCTTGAAAGCTTCGATGGTGCTTAATTAAAATCGTAACTAAAATGGCGTTTATAAAACTTGATACATAATATACTATAAAGGACAGTAAATTTAAATAGTATAATGGCATTTTTATGCGTATAAAATTTACAAAAGCACATTAAATAGAATTTCTATTATAAAACTTTTTTTATAAACCTTGCCTAAAAAGATGATTGTTTTTAACATGAAACTTGTTTTTAAAATATTCTATTCCATTAATTAAAAACCAACTAGGTATAAAATAAAAATGTAATTCTCTCATAAATTCAAGTTAAAAAAATAAAACATTTAATTTAAATGCAGCTTTTGCAAAATAAATGTAATACCACTAATGCAACCACAAATTGAATTATTAAATTGTAAATTATTTATTTCAGGTTGACGTTAATCCCTCAGCTATATTGATACTACCATATAATAAAACTGATTGGGCCGCAACAAATATATCTGCATTTAATGGTACAAATTTAACGTTCAGTGTAGATTTGCCTGAAATAATACCTCCCATTGTTCATTATGTGCCAGTAAGTAGCTATTTTATATTTGGATTTATAGTTATACGCAATCATTTATTATAATATATGGTGCTAATAATTTATTCCACTCTGTACTATATATTATTTTTAAGTTGAATATGGTAAAAGCCAAATTTTATCCAGAAAGTTAGTAAAATTATGTCGCTAGACTTTCAATAATGTTAAAAAAACTGTTCTATTTTTTTGTAAACTCTTTAGGAAATTACTAATTTAGCTGCGGCGATAAAATAAGTTTTTACGTATATGTTTAATCTTGTTATATTTTTTTCTAGACCTCAATTACACTGTTCATAAAACCTTTTTCGAGTGCCTTAAACTTTTTTAATAAAACACAAAGAACATTTACCATATCATGTAAAAATGTCCTTTATTTTATCGGTAAAAATAAAACTTCATAAAACTTTTTTCATTTATTTATATTTTTTTGTTTATAGCAATTTTTATTAAATTTGACAGAAGTTATTTACGTTATAAGGCTAAAAAATGATCTTTTACAGACCAGAAGGTAAACGACTTTACCCGATTGGTCTGAATTAATTTTACAGTCTAGGAGGATTTTTAATTGAAAATAATAGTTATTTATGTCATACAATGCATAAAACATTATAATAACTAGTAGAAAGTAGAAAGAGAGTATTGATTTGATCTGATAGTAATTGAACTTTTTTATTGGTTCAAAGAGGTTTTTTACAGATTGGAGGTAGAAAAATTTACTCGATTGGTTTAGATTATTTTTACATCCTAGAAGGTTTTTTGATTGAAGATAGGGTGAGGAGTCTTTTTGTTTAAATTTTAAATGCCGATGCTTTGCGGAGACCTACAATTGAGTAAAGTCACTTCTTAGTCAAATGGTATACAAAATTTTATCTTTAAGGCATCCTTTTTTTTGTTAAACAATACATAAAACGTACAATTATAATAATTATTACTGATTTTTACATTAATTGCAAAATTCCAAAGTTAAAAGATCAAATTGTAAAACTAAAATTTCGATGATAGATCTATTAATATTAGTACTATGGACTCAAACTTTCACAATAATTTCTTTTTGTGACTCCAAACAATATTTTCGATATAGTCTAATGTTTAAGCTTTATACTGCCCTATATTTTAGAACTGTATATAACTAGACTACATAAGTAAAAAAAATTCTAACTCTAAAACGCCTTTACCAATCTTATAAAATTTTGGATAAAAATACTTTAACTTATATCTCAGTTTACGTTTTTAAGGGTTTTTGGAAAAAATATCCTTAAAGCCCTTTTATTTAATATTAAAAAAAATTGCTCGAAAAAAAAAATTTATATTAAATTTTTTTGAAGTAAATAAAAAATATGCTGTTAAAGACCCTAAAAATTTTGTACAAAGCGGTTCAAAGTAGGTAAAAATGACCACTTTTCAGCAAAATAATCAAAAAGGGGTCATTTTTACCGAATTTGAAGCGCTGTATCTTCGTTCAATTTGTACAAAATTTCCAGGGTATACTAACAAAAATACGGTCTTTAACAGCATATTTTTTATTTACTTAAAAAGATTTCTCTATAAAAGTTTTTTTTGAGAGTTTTTTTTTAATATTAAATAAAAAGGGCTTTTTTTCGAAAAACACTTGAACACGTAAACTACGTATTCTTATACAAAATTTCATAAAGATTGGTAAAGGCGTTTGAGATTTTTTTACTCATTATGCGTTAATTTTGACGCTCAGTGTATATACATTATAATTTAATATTGTTAAAAATGGCGAATGCGCCGGGATTAATTGGTTTAAATTATTACAAAATAAAGTTTTATGTTAAATCTTATAAAGCAAAAAAAAATTTCTTACTATAAAAAGGCATTCTTAATGACCCAACTTAATTTAAAAATAAATAAGTGGTATTTTTGTACACCTTTATTTAAATAAATTAAATATTATAATTTAAAATATCTGGTAAACAAATTTTATTAATGAAACTTTTTTTAAATTTTTCTTTATTTTTAGACTTACCTGTACAGTTCAGCTTTGGTCCTAGCAGCTATCTCTGTATTCCTTAGGTTGGGATTTATCTTAAAGTTATTTTTAATGGTGACATCCTTAGTAATTCATATCCTAATATACAGTTATTTAGAATTTTTCCATGATTATCATGACCAACACGATGACAAGTAAGTTTTTAAACTTATATTTTAGAATAATTTAATTATTGCAAAAAAATTAATTTTAGGTTTCCCAAAATACGATTTGAAATAAAATCTGCGCTGGTTTTAGCACTTATCGCAATATTTTTCCATATTCTTGACAGACAAATTGAATTTACGTCCAGGACGGATTATTTATGGAAAGCGAAGCTAAAAGTCGAACAAGAAGAAGTTGAAACCATGCGGGGAATTAACAAAGTACAAACTAAAATATACGAACCGAACTTTCAAATTATCTTTCAATCCAATTTTAGATTTTGTTGGAAAACATTCTGCCGGCCCATGTTGCCGAACATTTTTTGCTAACAAGGGCAAACCAAGAGTTGTATCACGAGCGGTACTCATGTATAGCAGTTATGTTTGCTTCAATCCCCAACTACAAAGAGTTCTACGACGAGAGTGATGTAAATAAACAAGGATTGGAATGTTTGAGATTGCTCAATGAAATTATTTGTGAATTTGATAAGGTAAATATACAATTGGTTCAATATATACTAAATCTTGTTGCTTGATTTTTTTTTTATTATTATATCAAGGGCATTAAATCAGAGAGGCATATGCACCAAAATGAAAGGTTTTACAGGAGTAGATTAAAACCTTTCAAAGTTTAGTTTTTGTTTATTTAATAATAGCAGTAATATTAATAAACGTCTTTATTGAAAATGGCATACAGTCTTAAACAGCAGAATTTAATTTAAAACATTAAAAGTAATTTTTTATGAAAAAAAAAATGTGGTTAATTATTTTACATAAATAAACAACCTTAATACTTAATAATAATACAAAAACTAAAAACTAAACTAAAGAACTACTACAAAATGTAACATACTTATAACTAAACAGAGAAAGAGAGAAACATTCTTACCCTCGTAAATTTAACATTTAATGTTAAATTTACGAGGGTAAGAATGTTTCTCTCGTTAATTTAACACTTTTTAGGACCATTAAAAAACTTTAATGAAATCAATTATAAGAATCTGTAACTCGGATTTTTAGCTAAAATCTTGTTAATACCCGTAACTTTAATTAAAGTTGTAATTTAATAAAGCAGGTTTTGTAAACGAAAATATTGATGTTTTTAAAGGTTTGGGGATTTTTAATTAATTCGGCAAATAAAAGTAATTAAAGGGGTGAAAACCAACCCATTTATAATTTAAGTTGGTAGGTTTAGTCTGGTTTTAACAAAAGCATGGAGTATATTTAAGTTAAGCATCTAATTAACAATGCTTTATAATTTTTTTTTTCAGTTATTATTAAAACCAAAGTTTAGCTGTATTGAGAAAATAAAAACAATAGGCAGCACCTACATGTTGGCCTCTGGATTAAGGCCAGGAAAGGAAGAACAAAACAAGGTAATCATAACATAATTATTTAATTTTTCCCTGCTAAAGCTTTTGCTTTAAAAACTTTTGAATTTTTTATTTGGTTTGTTGTACAATTTGTATGAATTAATCAATTAAAAATTTATTAAATAAACACCTAAAACTTTAAGGCCTTGCTATTGTACACTCACAGGCAAAATAATCGATCCACACAAATTTTCGATGAATTTCAATCGCAAATAACTTTTTATTTGATATCGGATTTAAACAAATATTAAGGAATATTGTAGATAAATTAATGGAGAACATTTTAAATAATTACTAAAAAATAGATGTACGTTTATAATTAAAACTTAATTTATAACAATATACGGTTTTGCCACTCTACAGAGTGTGTTAAACTTATGGTAAAATACATATTTTTGTTTTGTATATTATAAACTTACGTCTATTTTTTTAGTAATTTTTAAAATGTGCGCGATTCTCCACTAATTTTTCTACAATATTCTTTACTATTTGTTTAAATCCAAAATCAAATAAAAAAGATATATGCAATTGAAATTCGATCGATTATTTTGCCTGTGAGTATATTGTAATAATAAATATTAATAATAATAATATTAGTAATAATAATAAATATTGTTTTCATTTTGCTTTCTTAGGATATATTAAAGGTAATTTATATTTAATTAAAATAAATTTAAGAAATTATAATATTATTATACAGGGTGTTAGGGAATAACTGGGAAAAATGAAATATTTAATAGGCCACGTCCAGACAAGCATTTTGGTCTTGGGCTCATGTGTGAGAAAACACCTTTCTGCCGAGCTACATGCGCACAGTGGTTCAAAATCCTAAAAACTCTGGCAAGATAAAAAATCGAAAGCAGTATTTGAAGAATTAGACAAAATTACTAACTTTATAAACCAAGTTACCCATCTCAGACAAGTTTATTACGACTTGTTCTAAATAGTTTTAAAACTGTAAGTGGACGTAATTTTTCACTGAAGTTTTGCTTTCTGATTCAGCTTAATGGAGCGTGTCTATCACGTGCATATATAATTTTGTGTGTACGGAAACTGAAGTAAAATGGTGGTCCACAAAAATGTTTAAAATAACAGATATCCAAATATCCAAGTCGATCACAAAAATGCGGTAGGTGGAATACGTCGATTATACTGTCATTTATTAATATTCGATGAAACTTTAACCATTATCATGCCCTCTCCCGTTCAAATGTCGATTGATTTGAAGTTTGGGTATTCTGAAAGAATATTCGACGGATTTTGCCCTAAACTGTTCCAAAAAAGATAGTCTTGAAGACGTTTTTAACCAACTTCTCATATCTTTGGATTCTTTTATTTATAGTTTAAGAAAAATTAGCCCCAGCTTGTTCATAACGGCCATAAAACTTTTACTACCTTATCGTAAATATATGGCGTGCACGCCACCTCAATTACTTGCGAAATCAAGTCAATTAAATTAAATTTACAAAATTTTTAAACATTAAATATTAACATTAATGTCATTTGTCCCTACTAGGTTCTCAAGTTCTTATAAAACAAATATAATAAACAAATAAGAGAATCATAAAGAAATAAAAAATAAGTAATTTACAATCATTATTTTATTATGCGCAATAGCCTTTTAAATTTAATTTTCTTCTACCAGAACGCCCACCTGCTCTGTCAGGAGCATTTTTAACCCAAGTTTTAATTGCCATATTTATCTCAGTATTGGTGGCGTTGCAGCAAACGGCATTTTTACGTATTGCTCCTAAAATTAAGAAAAACAGATTATTGCAAATATTATTATTAGAGTTTTAATAAATCTTACCATATATAAGTTTTAATAAATTTACTAATTTCCGAATACTTCCTTTTTCATTAGCCCCAATCCAATTAATTTTAAGGGCCAACTGGTGGTTTATTATTATGGATAAAATCCTTTTGGTTGTATCATTTAGGTCTCTGCCACCCAATAATGATAATGTGTATTGCTTAAAAAATAAAAATGTTTACCAAGCAATTATGGCCAGTTCATTAATAATTAAACACCTACTTGTTTTGTTCATGTAATTGAATATGTAATACAATACATTTTAATTTAAAACCTTTTATAATTATTATACTTATGTAATATAAAATTAACTGTAATGTATTTTTATAAAGTAAGACTTACTGTTTTAGAGAAGTATTTCACATCAACTAATTTTTCATTAAAATTAATGAGTTCGTCATAAGTAGAAAAAGATAACTGCTCTCCTATATTTTCTATATTCGTTATTTTTTCCAAATTTGCCAGTTTAAGTAGGTTTTTAACGTCACTTTTAAGGATTTGCAAATCTTCAAGTACTCGCTCAAACATATCTAAAAAATTATACTATTAATAAATAATATTATATTATAAATAATCCAAATAAATAATGCGCATAATCTCGATTGTAATACTATACTTTATCTACTGCAATGATTAGGTAATTAAATCATTTAAAAAAATAAAAATCTGTCAATTTAAAATGTTATTATAGCCGCCTTTTTTAATTTAAAACCCGATTGGCTCAAATACCAGTGAATATTGATATCGGCCAATTACTGATTTCTAACAACGTGAATAATGAGTTCATTATTCCCGTTGTTACCCAGGGAGTTTATAATGTTTATCAATATTCACGGAAAGAACCTAAAATTATCCAATAGGAGTAGATAAATTTGTTTATTCATGATATAATAAATAAATATACGTATATAGTAAAGTCCGTAGTTAATATAATATATATTATAATAATAATAATATTAATATATATCATAACATTATAATATATATTATACGGCAACCCTAGGCGTAGGTGCACATATGTATAGGGTTGCCTTCTTGGTTTAAGGGTTAGAAGGATTTAAAATACTGGTTTTAGATTTTTTTTCTTTACGGTAAACAATTAAAACCATTGTTTTATGGCGGCATTCTGTTTTTTATATAATAATTGTTTAATAAAACAACTCATAATACTTATTCATGTTATAAGGCCCCCTTTCACCTCCCGTCTGCTAATTGTATAAAATAAAAAAAACAGAAAATTTGATGTTAATTAAACTTTGACCTCGAATAACTCTAAAAGAAATAAATTTATCAAAAAATAATAAGAGACCTTTTTTGTAGAGCGTTACATTTTATATTAGAAACTGCAATGATCATTGCCATAAGTTACTTTTTTACAGAGGTATAAAATTCCAAACATAAAATTATTTTTTCCCATGTTAATTAAATGGGAAACTAAAATAAAAACAGCGACCTCTTAGAGTTGAGCTGGAACGCCCATATTTGGTGAGGATTTTTTTTATATTAAATAGAAACATTTGAGAGGGTAAGAGCTAAAAAAATAATTAAATTTTATTTTTTGAAGCACCCTAATGTACATTCATCCTGATTTATAATGATTTTTAAACGACTAGATAATATACAATATCTAGCTATAGAGGTGCGTCCACCAACATTCGCGCATTAAAATCCCGGCCCTGATAATCAGCGACCATAAAAACTATTTCACATATGATTTTGATGAAATTCCATCAGTTTTTTTAATGTCGTCCATTTTGTATCAGCTATTTTATTTTTTGGACATTTTAATTTATATTCGTAATTAGTGCACTTAATTTAGACAAACCTATTATTTTTTCATTAAAATGACAGCCTATTTTGGAACTGCCATTTTGTTTGAAAATTTAACATAAGATGAGTGACCTTAAACATCCTCGTACACATGATTTTAACGAAATATAATCTTTTTTCTTTAACATGTTCGCCTAGGGTGAGCCAAAGAAACTAACCTATCGGATTTATGGGTTAAAATGAACCTACATACCGAGCAAAAAATTTCCCTGCAAGGCAAAAGTTTTTGCTCAATTTTAAAAGGTATCGGTGAGCATTCTAAGTTTTCCATTGAAATAACACGTAAAAAAAATCTTTTTTCATTAAAAAGACTATAACTTTTGAACCGTTTGAGATAAAAACTGCAGTTTTAGTGATTTTTTACACTTTTCAAAGCTTTCAAACATACGAATTTTTGAATAAAAAAATAATAATCCTGGTATAGATTCTTTGGGAAATTTTATGCTCTACAAGAATCCGCGACGTAAAAAATTTTATTTCAAACGGTTCAAAAGTTATAGTTTTTTTAATGAAAAAAGATTTTTTTTACGTGATATTTCAATGGAAAACTTAGAATGCTCACCGACACCTTTTAAAATTGAGCAAAAAATTTTGCCTTGCAGGGAAATTTTTTGCTCGGTATGTAGGTTCATTTTAACCCATAAATCTGATAGGTTAGTTTTTTTGGCCTAATGTTCGCCATTTTGGATCCGCCATTTTGCTTTTTGAAAAATGTATCCGAGATTTGTAATTAGCGACCTAATAAAACCTTCAAAAACCCTTGCATACGCATTATCACTAATATACAGGTCTATGACTTAAATTTTAGTTTTTGGGATTTTCAACCACTGTTAAACGTCTGTTTAAATTTTGCGCGCGGATTGGCGGATATAACCTTGGTTGTAACTATGGTATTGATGAAACCTAACCTCATAGATTAATAACCTTTAACCAAAGATAAGTATTATCTTTGCCTCTAACCTTTCAAATCTAAGACAATTAAAGAGAATGGACGCATATAACGTCTATTCCACACAGGCTTAGTGAATTGTGCCGAAAGTAAACCAAAAAATGGCGTCGCCTCGAGGTGTTACCAAATTTTTTGTGTTTATTTTTGTTGGAAAGGAAATAAAGAATCGCATTGATTAATAAACCAGCACGCGTCCTCACCATTTTTATCTGTTGTTTTAACCCTTAAGTCTAAGTTTTGACGTTTCCTCTTCGACTTAACATACTAATGTGTAATTCGACGCCATTTTTTGGTTCACATTTTCAACGTTTTGATTAAACAAAGTTTTAAATTTATCATAGTTGCAACCTAGCACCACTTGATGTTTTTCCTTTTATTTCCTAACCACCTTGTAAATAATACTATTATATTTTTAAGGATGGGTAGCATTATTTCCATACAAATGCATGGGTGTTCTAAAATTGACTTTAATTTAATTAAATTAAATTTAGTAGACAATTTTTGAAAACCATATACTACTGCATACTATAGAAAATTAATTTATTTTATTGTTTTAAGGCATCAAAAAAAGAAGAACATATCATTGTAGCTTTGGTAGACTTTGCTCTTCTACTTATGTCCAGTTTAGATCAAATTAACCGAGATGCTTTTCAAAGATTTAAACTAAGAGTTGGTGAGTTCAATATTACCTTTTTAATATTAAATGACTTAAAATGTACTTAACTTAACCTTCTTAGGATTAAATCATGGTCCAGTAATAGCTGGCGTGGTTGGGGCGCAGAAACCTCAGTATGACATATGGGGCAACACTGTAAACGTCGCATCCAGGATGGATTCATGCGGCCTAATGGGAAGGATCCAAGTGACTGAAGACACGGCGAAGATTTTGATGAATGTCGGATACTCCTTGGAATGCCGAGGTCCGACTTATGTCAAAGGCAAAGGCACACTTACAACTTATTTTATTAAGACTCAGTTCGATGAGAAGTAAATTTTATGAGTAGATCTCCTTATTAATCCAATCATACCTTCTCGTTATAATTTGTGTTAAAATGGGATAGGTGCATAGATAATACATTATTTATTAATATTTATTACTTAGATAATTTTATTATTCCAAAGTAGGTATCTCAAAACTGAATAAAGACTTTTTGGATATTTTGGTTTAGTTAAATTTTGTTTATTTAACGTAATAAATGTGTACATAAATATTTAAGAATAAATATATTACGTAAAAGTAAGAGGAATTTATGGTAATTAAATATTGTATTTTATAAATTGTATTATTCTTTTCAAAGTTAATGGGTTACTGTTCAAAGGTGTGTTCTTTTTACTTAAAAAATTAGAATAAAATAAACTTATTAAAACCTGCAACATAAATAAGTAATAGGTATAAATATAAAACAGGTTCATTCAAAGGAAAACATTAAAAACGATTTAAAAAACAAACCTATTTAAAAATAAATAGAAGAAATTTATGAAATAAATAATTAAATATTTATTAAAATTGTTTTAATTTTGGGGAAAAAATCAGATATTTAGGTACCCTTAAAAATATATGTTAATTTTCATCAAATGTTTAAATATAGCAATACTCCCACTAAAACTCTACTAATTATTTCATTTTAAATTGTTTTTTATTAACATAAAAAACAATATGGTCAATATTGCCAAAGTTATATCCCTAATAAAAAACCTGATAATATTATGATACTAGAAAAATAAAATATACAATATTTATTAAAAATTCTATTGCAATTTTGTTTCTATTCAGTAGCGGATCCACGGAGTTTTGAGCATTAACCCCCCCAAATCAGGAAGGTTAGAAAAATTATTGGAAAACAAACTGACCCAGAGCTATTAATGGATGTATCTATAGAGTCTGCGGTAAATAATTTTATTTTTAAATAATAGCACGTTTTAAAACCACTCCAATATAATTAAAAATATGTTCGGGGAGAAAATTTTCCACAAACTCCCCACTTCCCCACAAATTCCGAATCCATTGTAAATAATGTACTTGAAACTTTAATATTTAATTTATTATTTAATATATTCATAAACATTTAGCTTCTACTTTAATAATATTATTATCTGTTTGACTTTTTATTCATTTAAATAATATTATTATTGGAGTAACCCGGCTAGACTTCGCCTTTTATATAATGTACTCTCTAAAAATTACTAATTGTCATAGAAAAAAGCAGCCACTAAAAATTCTCGTCAAAAGCAATTTGTATCTCGAACATTTAGCAGTAATTTTTCATGTAAAATTGTCCACTGAATCTGAAAATGTCGTCAAGTTAGAAAAGTAGACCATTTTTTGAGATATAGTTAATTTTCCATATAATATGGAATTGACTATATCTCAAAAACTGCTTTACTTTTATAATTTGACGGTATTTTTGGATTCAGGGGACCATTTTACATAAGAACTGGCTGTTAAATGTTGGGATATCATGGTATCCCATGGTTAACCATGGTATGAGTGAAAAAGCAGCCACTTATAACTGTAGTAATTACTCATTTTTGACTTCATTCATTTTTAGAGAGTATTCATTAGTTAATAAAGACATTATTAATATTACTATGCTTTATCTTATCTCATCTCAAATATTTTATACCTTGGTTATTTAGGTATGGGTACGGTTTATTTTATCAAAACGAATTAATATATTTTTATCAAATTTATGAAAGGTGGACAATTAAAAACTATTTGTAAATTACCAGTATAGAAAGCCATCTTTTTTTTTTTCAATATTTACTATATAATAGTTAAAAAAAACTGTTTGAGAATGGAGAAAATTATTTAAAATTTTGGATTTAGGTAATGTAGTAAAAACATTAAATGTTTAGTATAATAGTACCACAGATTTTTGTACCTTGGAATTCGGGTTGTAACATCGTAGCAATTTGAAAGACAATATTGTTATTTAATTTGATTATTTTTAGTAAATAAATACTTTTTATCAGGGATAAACCTTATGGCACGACCTAGCATATAAAAGAATTAAGTAAATCAAGCTAATATTTAATACGTACCTGACTGATCAAGAAAAAACTACGTGTTTTAGATGTGTTAGTTAAGTTACATCTTGTATTTATGTAGATGCTTTTAGAAAATAGTTAAATAGTAAAAACTACAAAACACCAAATACATCTGTGTTTTAAAAATAGCGCAATGCTAAGAACTTCTCTATAATACTCCTAAATAAGATTCATGTTACATTTAATATTAGAAATTCATGACAATCTCTTAAATTATATAATATTATTTTTTCAACATTGTAAATTGTTAAGGTTTATCAAAGTGTTTTTAATAAATAAAGTTTATTTAGTTGAAATTGAATTTTTTTTACCAAAGTTACGTTAAAAACTAGGAATTAGAAAAGGTTATAAAAAGGCAATTATTTTTTGAAATTTTATATATTTTATAACCAAAAATACATTAAATTACCATAAGAAAATTGTTAATTTTTTTGTTAACAAATAATTTAAATTTATACAGGGTGTCAGTTGCGCACCACCTTGAATATGTATTCTCTAAAGATCCCCTGAAATCACGGAAACGGAACAAATTCTACCTTCATTACTTTAAAAATATTTAACAGCGTAAACATTAAGTTTTAAAACTAAAAAATAATAGCTTTACCTTGTTTATATTGTTTTAAGTCCTATTAATATTATTATTATTATTATTGATTTGGCCTAATGTACATAATGTTTAAACAATGATCATAACGAATTAATATTTCATCTTATGGGAAAACACATTTTACTTTACTTTAACAATATAATGTCCCAACAACTAATTATCACAACAATTAATTGGTTAATTGATTATTATCTATTTAAATCACACCACTGATACTTCCTATCAGGCAATCTTGCCATTTGAAAAATGTATATTAAAAATAATAAAGGTAACATTAAAAAAAAATAGGATTCCTGGGGTCTGTAGATCATAAGGTGGTGCGCGACTTTTGGGAAACCCTCTTAGTTAACTACTTAAAATAGTTTAATATACTATAGGATCTCTCGGGCTCTCCGCTGAAAAAAAAACAATTTTCATTATTAATATTGAATCAATACACAAGTTTACAGTACATCTGTTACCGAAAAGATTTTTGCTGTTGCTGACTACATTTGTATGCTAACTTCAAATATTTAATATTAAATAAATAAATATTTAAAATTTATTACAAAATTGAAATAATCATTGAGTTTCATAGGTTCAATATAATTTTTGGATTTTCTATTTTCTAGAAAGTTTTGCTTCACAGAGACGAAAGCTGTCCAAGTTGTTCAACCGCAGTCATAGAATTTCTAAATTGATAATCATTCGTTAGTAACTCCGTTTTTATCGCCATGGCGGGAGGATATGGACTATATTTTGCTTCCCAGGCGTTATATTTTCTCTCAAGGGCCTGTTTTTCTTACAAAATTTGAGTTGCCATGTACTTATGTTGCAAAAACGTCAGATATTAGTCACACACTGAAATACGCTCGTTATTAACGAATAAATACATATAAATACTCAAAATCAAAAACAAAGCAATTTGTGCTGCACGAAAACTTTGAAGGTGAGGTTTTTGCAAAAAGCACGTCATAAGTAAACATTCGATCACAAAATTTACGGCAACAGACAAAAAATTAAATTTTGTAAACTTGTGTTATAATTATAAAAAGTAAAAATAGTCCCACTTACTTTTCTCTGAAGAATAAGACGCAAATTTGCTCCAGCAAGCCACTTCCCAATTTTGAACTTTAGCCTATTCTCAACTATTGTATGTTCAGCTTTAGTTCCAGCTGTAAAATTTTTAAAATATTTTTAAAATTTATTTATGCATTAAAAGGAGAAAAAATATTTGTTTTAAGATTAGAATACAAAGTATCATAATATTATAAGTACTAAAATATCAACTGTATACCAAAATATAATAAAATGTTTTAAGTATATTGTATATTCTTCCACGCCAAATCGACCACATTTGAGCTCAATCCCTTTTGATTTGGCTGATTATTTTTTATATTTTTCTACCCCACTAAAAATGGCTCTTTTTTTAAACTTTTAAAAATTGACTTAACGGGACGTTTTTTTTTAATGGTTTTATTTTAATACAAAAACATTTTTACAGTTTTCAGTTTTTTTAGAAAAACCATCCTTAAATTTTTTTTTAGTTAGAAAACTGAAAAAGACAGCAACATGGCTGTCGAAACGTCAAACCGAATTACAATGATACGCGGCTTAAAACCCGGAAACCATTTTACTTCTAAAGAAAATAACCGCGAAAGCCTTAGAGATAAAATCAAAATGCATAAGTCACTTGCATTACCATTCTAAGGACATATGATTTACATATTTACATAAAGTGTTTTATTATTTCTACGTACATATTTAATAATGAAAATACTCTTAAATAACAAAAATAGATTAAGGATAAAGAAATTTATACAAATATTAATGTTTTTTCATACATAGCAATTTTCAAAAAATATAGGACTAAATTATGACGTTTGCCAAATTTACAGAATATCCCTAAGAACATTTACTTAACCATTGTTCAATAATATTTTACACTTAATTTATATCTGTTTTTTAAATTATGTAAATTATTTTATTGCCAAAAAATAGATCTTTTGTTAAATTGGTGTATAAAAATTAAATTTTTGCTAATGATATTAACCATAAAATCATAATTATTAATTTTATAAAATAAACAATTGGTAAAAAGAGAAAAGTCGGCCCACTCTGGATTTAGCATGGTTCTTTAGTGGGGTAAAAAAAAATAAAAAACTTCAGCCAAATCAAAAGGGTTTAAACGTGGTCGATTACATTTTAAAACACTTATACTTTACTTTACTTTAGTTACGCTATTAGAGTTTTGATGATTTTAGAACTCAAACAGCAATTCTTGTAAAAATATAAATATAATTGTTCTAAGCTTTTACGATTTGAAAAAAAAAATCAAATTTACATTTTTATATTCTCAAATGCGATAAAATTACTTTTAAACAATTAAATATTAGTAACATAAAATTATGGGATGGAATATAGTTTAAAAAAATGATCGTTAATGATAATTTTAGTTAATTTTTAGTGAAAGCGACTAGTATATTAATAATATAATAAATGATTTGAGAAAAACAAATACAAAGAAATTGGGTTTTTTCGGATATTAGAAAAAATTATAAATTAGAAAACAACTCAATATGCGAAAAACAGTAAAGAGATAAAAAAGTTTAGTTTTCAATTTTTTATTCGGAACAAATATCAAAACAAAATAATGCATTTCTTTTTAAAATTAACAGTCGAGAAGCCACTGCAAGAATTAAATAAAATCTAAAAACATCAAAAGCTAATTATTTTTTTATAAAAAATCCCATGTAGGGTTTTTTAGACATTATGAAAAAACGTAAAATTTAGAAAATTGCAACACTTTTTTTCTCGGAAATAAATATCATATTTGGAATCAGTTACCTTAAGAATATTATTCCAAAAATTGCTTGTTTAAACTGAAATAATTTCAAACAGGTCAATGTTTAGACTTAAAGTCATAAAATTATTGAAACGAATCGAACTATGTAAATCTTTATTTAGACTTACATATTATTTTATTTTTTTTTGAGCTAAAAATTTACCGATTTATAAAATTTTTAACTTTTTCCTGTTATTTTAATGGGAAATAAAAAATTGCGATAATCCACCTCCAAATAAAAATATTAAGAGCTTATATTTTGACAGAGTCAATGTCTAGAGACAGTTTCTTAATTTTTTAAGTTTCTTAAAAAAAACAAAGCAAACGATTTTTTAAAAACACTCTAATAAGTATATTATATCAAATATGGGTGGGATAGATGCAAAACCCGCCAACTGCATTTTAAAATAGTAAAAGAGAGAAAACGTGTATCCATATCCAGTCATAATGCAATTGGCAGGTATTGAATCAATATAACTTGTAATGGTACGATATATGGGGCAGTTAATTTTTAACATTTAGTAGTTTAACTTTTTAAGCATTACGAAATATTATATTGAATTTTAAATATTTCGTTTAAAATTATATTAGGTGTTAGGTATAAGTTTCACTTTAGAATTCGATACATTCTTTACTTGTTTATTATACAATAATAATCTGGACGACCACTTGAGGGTTCGTTACAGAAAGACAAAATAAGCAAGTTTTGGTTCATGTTACTAGTCTTAAAAAATAAACCTAAAAAGTGCGTGTTAAAAACTTGGAGAGGATATTAGATTTTGAGACAGTTGGGTTTTGCTATTTGAAGAGTTAGTTACGTTTTACTATTTGAAGAGGTAGTTACGTTTTGCTCTTTGAAGGGTCGAGTTGAATTCTTTAATTTTGTAAGGGAGTGAATTTAACCAATAATACATTGTTTTTATATAAATTCAGTTTTTGTGAAAGTGTTGTTCATTTAAATAGGTATGTCTTTTCTATATTTAGTTGTTATAATCTGAGGTCACAAATATCATAATGAGTGGTTAATTATTTAATATTTAATTTAAAATATATTTTATTTTCTTCTTTGTTAAAGAAGTATATTTTGAGTTGTGGTTGGACAAACTTGGTTCCGTATTTATTATAATTATTATTTTATGTTTACCATTTTATTATTTACATTTTACTTTAACATATTTTATTATAATGCAATGTATCATGTTATTACATATTTCTATTTAACTTTTACTTACTTTGTTTTGTACAGTTTACATTATTTTGTTTATTTGATAAATTGATATTCATTATTTAATATGTTAAGGCTTTGTTGCAATTTCGCCACACCAAACACTTGTTAGAATTTTCTTTTATTGTTTAACGGTGTTGGTAACGGTCGAGGGGGTCGAGCCCGGAGACTTATAATTATCAATTCACCCATCTTTACAATAAATGCTAGGTAGGGCCCATGATGTGAGTTTTTGAGACATTTCCTTATTTTATTATTATTGATAATCATTTTATTTTGCTATATTTTATTTGCACTGACATAATTTTATTACTTGATCATACCTGATTTTATTTATCATTTATGACTGTACAATTAAATTGCATTACCGTTGTCCACTACTACACCACTTATTATATATATATTTTATTTATACAAATACCATTTATTATTGTTGCTTGTGACCTAAGTTATATTATACTTTATGTTTCACATTATTGTTGTTTGTTGCTGTTTGATAATTATTTCAATGTGTATTTGCTTTTCTACACCGTCCGAGCCTACCATTTATGTAGGTGAATAATCTTAGCAATATGATAATATAATTGATTATATTTATATTGATTACTTTGATTTTGTTGTATTATTTATATTGTTGAGATGTGCGACATATATGCATGTCTGTATTGTATATGTGGGTTTTTAAGGTTTTACCTTATTAACTTAAATCAAAGAGCACTTTATAACTTTATAACTTTATAACTTATAACTTTATTAATTGTCTTTATTAATAAACTTATTTTAATTTTATACTTTTTCTTTGCTTTTTAAATATCTTTTCAATTGCTCAAGTACTTACGTATCCAGAACCGTATTCACAACAAAAAGGGGTCCTAAATTAATTTCTTTAAACTAGACCATCACGAGTTTTGGCCAAAGGTAGTTTTTTGTGGTTTTAATATTCTTTTTAATTATTAATGTGTGCCCCCCCTTGCCCCGTTCGTTACAAACTTATATATCTTAATATGATATTATAAAGGAATTTTTAGTATATGATATAAACAGTATCGGAAATTATGTAATTAATCCAACAAGAAATGGACAAATCAATTACAAAATCACATTACATTTTAATCTCTCTTACTATTTGCATACAGTATGTCATCAAGTAAGTTAGCAAATTTTTATCTATCACTGCTATTATTTTTAAATAAAAAATATCATGAACATTTGCGCAATCCTTAATTTGTTTTGTGGCCACTGGTTTTGATCGTACTTTAAAATGTTAAAATCATCAAATAACAAGAAATTATCAACAAAAATAATTAATAATAACAAAGTACTAAACGATTTTTGATAAGGTTTAAAGCTTACTTAAAATTATATAATTTTAAATAAATGAGCATAATTTTAACTGGCTGACTGCTTTCACGTTTAGGTAATTAATTCGTTAATAAAACATATATAAAAATTATTTATTTTATTTATAAAACACCCTATATATCATTGCAAACTCACCAATGATACAGTCAAATAACTTTGTGTTTTTAAATGAACGCTTTCTTTTGCGAGAATCCGTTTTTTTCAAAAGTTTCCCTCCGACGTTGTAATGGAATGCCACCTCGTCTGATAAGAATTTTTGCAAAATTTTTTGAACATGCTCCATTTGGTTGGGACCGCCAATATTTTTCATGTACATTGTCTGCAATTAAAGAAAAAAATTATGAAATTAAACAAAAAGCATTAGCTTTTAAATCCATTGAGCAAACTGGGGATTTGCACATTTTTTTTAAATGGTCTTATAACAAAGTTTGGATATTACTTTAGTCAACATGTATATTTTGGTAACTTCTGAAGTCCCAGGAAATGTTTTGTTTTAACTGATGAAACTAAGGAAAAAGCCGAATATTTTAGAATATAAACGTGACGTCACACTTGAGTAAACATAAATACATCAAAATAGTAAAACCGTTAACACACATCTTATAATTCAAATTTGTATTGTAAATACACAAATGCATATTATGTACTATGGGTTTCACCACGTGACTTAGGGCCGGTTTATCAATCTCTAGTTAAGTTCCAGTTAGTCTATCTGACGGTTAAATTTCATATCCATCGCTGTGAGAACAATGGTATCCATGGAAATTATCTACCAGATAACTAACTGCAACTTTAACTGGACATTGATAAACCGGTCCTTATTCAAATAATTAAGGTTTATTTCGGTCCTATTTTCTGAAAATATATATGTTTTTCTGTATAAAGGTTCTATAGAACATAAAAACAAATATATTGTATTATTTTCAAAAAATTGGACGAAATTAGCTTGACACTGACCATGACAGTCGACAGGGGGGCAAGAGAAGCAGTTTCCCTCCCTGTAAAATTAAAATACTATACAAAAGCGCATGTATAGCTCATTTAAACATTTAAACATAAATATTGTTCTATTGTTTTCATATTTCTTTGTTAAATCATGATATTTGGTACATGCCAATTATGTATGTGTGAAATATAATATAATATTGGCCAAATGTTCGCCACCGAAGGTTGGCAAGCCAAATTTTTGGGAAATCCTTTACCGTGAATGGTGTGCGTAACGGTGGAATAATAATTTTTTATCACCAGAATTAAATGCTGTTGATCGACGATTTATATTTTTATGGTATCTGGGATTTTCTGTCACTTCGGGACAGTCTGGGAGTTGTATCTAGAGATGCGACTTGAAAAAAAACGGTCCGTTTTTTTGTTTTTTTTTCAGGTTTTTTTTTCATTGTTTTTTTTTCAAATGGTTTTTTTTTCAAGATTAGTCCCATTTGCCTAATTTTTTATGTTTCCATGGACTAAAATTAGCCACTAAATGACAATTATTAAATTTAAATACAGTCTTGCGTTATGCACTCGCCACAATCACCGATTTGACCAATAAGGGCCGCGCTTGTTTTGATTTGGTCCTAAAAAAAGTAACTACATATAATATTTTTGATTCAGCGCTTGATTTTTCAAATTTATGTAGGTATACCAAAAGCACTATTTTCATGATTTTTCAAATTTATGTAGAGTATGGAATTTTTTTTTCAAAAAACAATAGCAAATTCTTGTAGAAAATTTCTTCATTGGTGGTCAGAACATTCCGTGGACCAAAAAAGAAATTTAAAAAAAAAATCGATTTTTTTTATTATGGTATTCGTTAGAATTGAGCGTTGCACGTTTTTCATCTAAAAATCTCAAAACTATAAACTTCAAGCTACAAATTGCTTTTTGCTCCAATACGACCATTTTTAACAAATATACAGCTAAAAAAAATGTTTATCCTTAAAAGTTTTACATTGCTATTGGTTTTTAATGTGGAAACTACCAAATTATAAGAAATCAGATTTTTTAGTCTTGGTCAAAATTTTCAATAATGAAAAATGTAATATATTCTACATTTTACTCAAAATTTTATTTTGAAAAAAAAATAAAAAAAACCGTTTTTTTTTCTATGTTTTTTTTTCACATCTGAAAAAAAATCCGTTTTTTTATATCTCTAGTTGTATCGATAATATTTTCACAAACCATGAAGATTATTATACTGCATGCCTGTATATCTGACCACTCAGCTCAAATAATTATTTGCTTAATTTGTGGTTCCTTGAATGTAATTATAATTACATTCAAGGAACCACAAATTAAGCAAAACCAACGTGCAATAAAGAGAATATTTAATTTTGATAATAAATTAAAATTTCAACTAAATCTTTTAAATCTAGACTAGGTTAAGTGTTTAGGTGGTACCAATTAATGAAGTTGATAAGCCATGGGATGTATTTATGAACATTATATTGCTTATATTTTGTGAATCATTCCCTTTAAAACCAACTAATAAAAAAAAGTATCTCAACAATATTAAAACACTGAAGAAAATAAAAGTGTAAAAACGAATTATATATTCTCTTTGTAATGAGCTCAGTGGATTACAGTTATGCAGAAGCATATAAGCTAGTAAAAAATTATTATCCACATCCAGAAAAAAAATACTGTGAAAATAAAATTAAAAATGCCCAAAATAAATCAAAAACAACATAGAACACAATTAAAGACTTAAATGGTGAAAACAGAAATATTGAGAACAAAGTTCCAGGCGATATAGAGGAAGTGGTTGATAATTTTAATAAGTTTATAATCAATGCAGCTCCCAGATTGGTTGCAGATCTGCCACAGGAGGAGTTTTTCTATAGGATTGAGATGAACAGAAGATCATTTTATGTTGAATCCTTGAGTAAAAGTAGTGTAAATATTATTAATAATCTTAAAAAAGTCATCAAGCTACTGTTATAAAGTTCTGTGTGTCTGAATTGTCAACAATTTTATGTTACCTTAATAATTCCCTTAATAACAGAATTTTTTCAAAAAGACTGAAAGTTTCAATTGTTAGGCCTCTGTATAAGAAGGGTGACCCGACATCCATTAAAAATTATAGATCCATTAGTTTACTTCCTGTATTCTTAAATGTTTTAGAGGCATAAATGTGTGAAAAGCTTAAAAATTTCTTTAATAAATGCTCTTTGTTTAGCCAAGCCCAACACGGTTTTTTAAGGTAGATCGATTGATAAATAGTAATTTTGAGTATAAAATGCTTTCGCTAGGAATGTTTTTAGACTTGTCCAAAGTTTATGACACCTTAAATTACGATATTTTAATAAGCAAACAAACAACTATGGAGTAAGGGGTTTACCATTGCAGTGGTTTCGATCCTACCTCTCGGGAAGATGTCAAAAGGTTTTTTGAACAAGATCCACAAGTATTTACTTCTTCATGCCAATATTTTAAGACAGGTATACCACAAGGTAGCATTGCTGGACCTTTCTCATTTATTATTTATTTAAATGATATAAAAGACTGCTTGATAAATGATAAAGATGTTTTAATAAACTATGCTGCTGACAGCAATATCATTACAGAAAGTAAAACCTGTGAAAGTTTGATGGAGGACGCAGATGGGGTGTTGCAGTGTACAGTGTACAGTTGTTTAACAAAAATAAATTAATATTGAATACAGAGCAGTCTAATTTTCTTATTTTTCGAATAAACAATAGTTACCTAAATGTACCTGTCACCGTCACCCTAATATAACAAGGTTGTATGTTAAAAAACCGAAAAATTTGAGTTTATGCTTCTACAAGGTTTTATGTAATCCACCCTTGACATACAACTTGAAAATAACTCTATATATATATGTATACATAGAATATACATTCTATGGAATTATTTTTAAGTGGTATGTGAAGCGTAGGCCAAGTATAATCCTGTGGAAACATAGACTTAAATATTTCGGTTTTTTTTTAACATACAACCTTTCTGGGTGTCTATATAAATGAAAATTTGAGTTGGCATAAACATGTTCAACAGATCTGTTAACAAAGTCTTATATAGTTTTAGAGTTTTGTATTAATATTGTAGCGTAGCGCCGATAAGTGCCACAGATCTCAGGGGTGTATTGGTTGTTCGCAGGAAAACAATAGGTTTTTGGTGGCGTTTCTTTCATTAAGCAACCGTAGTTATTACAGAAAGAGCCCTTTAATCAGCCAGCAAGACGAGATGGAGATATCAAACTTGACTTAAGCCCGCTGCACAATAGCTTGGTAACGGGAACGGGAACGGGAATCTTAACATTGAAGGTGGGAGAGACTTAAAAACCATTATTGATAGATAGGGTTCGCTGAATCTCTCCCACCTTTACCGTTTAGGTTCCCGTTCCCGTTCACGTTTCCGGGCTGTTGTGCAGCGGGCTTTAGTTTAAAAAGTAAATTAAAAATCTAAAATATTAAACAGTGAGTTTAAAATATTACCATTCTCAAAATATTCAACCTACCTAAAGCACCAGATTATGGAATTTTAAATAAAATTAAAATATCACGAAAAATCCAGAGGATGTCCAAGATTTATAAGGTTTCATCAAAGTAGTCACACGCAGAAGGCGCAAAAAGGTCCTGATGTCAAATTCGTAAAAAAATATCAACAGAGTGTCCCCCTTTTTCAAATGACGAATGTTAGGCAACCAAGATTGCATTAGGCAAAATAAATACCTTTAGGTTTTTTAAAACTTGAAATAATTATGGCTACGGTGCTCATACCGTTACAATATGTTAACCTCGACACTAAAGATTTTATACCATGAAAATTTTAACTCAATTTTAGTTTTGGTATAATTTTTTGGGGAATTAGCAGTGATATTAAAAATGTGTTTATCATTCAAAAAAGAACAGTTAGAAGAATTCCAGGCTGATCTTCAAGAACCTCATGTAGAGGTAAATTTAGACAACTGAAAATACTTACAGTTGGTGGCGTCTATATTTATCAATGTTTAATGTTTTTTGTAAAGAAGACCAGTTTGTTCGAAAAATATTAAAAAGTAAAATATTGTGATACTCGTTCATGTGATTCATAGGCTTACAGCCACTGAAAAAAGTGTTTTATGTATGTGTACTGTTTAATAACACTGTGCGACAAATTTTGACCTTACAATTTGAACTGGGATGAAATGTGGAAAAATCGAATCTATACAACCCCCAAAACTAATCTTTAAAGGGGTTTTGCTAGTTTAGCTCGAATAATGGAGATATACAGGGTGTTTCTTTTAACTTGAGGCAGCTCAATATCTCGAGAAATACGCATTTCAAGGAAAAATGTCTTAAATAAAAGGTTAATGTGACCAAAGGGGACATTATTTGGTGCTACCGCTAGCCACCCCTTACCCCTCCTTAAGGGTGAAACGGGGGGTAACTTTGGAAAGTCAAAAGGAATGACCCGATTTTTTTCACAGCGTTTGTTAGTACATAAAAAAATGAATAACTTTTATTTGAAAGTTTTTTTCAATGTATCAACAGATGGCGCTGTAATTCAAAATTTAGGAAAAAGGGGTTTCCTTGTAAAATGTATTATTTGAAACGTTTGAAAAACAAAAATTAACATTAAATCAACAATAGTCGGCTCTGAAAACAATTTATAACAAATGTTCGAAATGTCGTCCTTCCATTTCGACACCAAGTGGAGCACCAGCGTCCCTGGTCGGTAAACGTTTGGTGCGGTACCTTAAGCGAACGATTAATCGGACCCTTCTTTATTGACGGTGCATTAAATGGCGAAAAGTACCGGAATTTTCTATAAAACGATCTGATGGACCTTTTGGAGGATGTACCACTAGCACGGCTCCAAAACATGTGGTACCAGCAAGATGGTTGTCCTGCACATTATTCGACAATTGCTCGAGAGGTGTTGGATTGGGAGTTCAATGGCCGGTGCACCGCGGTGGATCGGTAGACGTGGTCCAGTAATTTGGCCTGCTCGATCACCTGATCTTACGCCACCAGACTTCTTCCAGTGGGGTTACTTGAAAGAAAAAGTTTACGCTGCAATTCCTACAACTTGGGAGGACATGGTGGAGCGGATCAGGAACGCCTGTGCGGCGATACCGCCCGACATGTTGGCGCGTTGTGTGCCAGAATTCATTACCCGCATTCAAAAATGTGTTGAAATGGAATGATGACATTTCGAACATTTGTTATAAATTGTTTTCATAGCCGACTATTGTTGTTAATGTTAATTTTTGTTTTTCAAACGTTTCAAATAATACATTTTACAAGGAAACTCATTTTTCTTAAATTTTAAATTACAGCGCCATCTGTTGATAAATTGAAAAAAGTTTTAAATAAAAGTTATTTATTTTTTTATATACTACCAAACTCTGTGAAAAAAATCGGGTCATTCCATTTGACTTTCCAAAGTTACCCCCCGTTTCACCCTTAAGGAGGGGTAGGGGATGGCTAGCGGTATCACCAAATAATGTCCCCTTTAGTCACATTAACCTTTTATTTAAGACATTTTTCAGTGATATTTCTCGAGATATTGAGCTGTCTCAAGTTAAAAGAAACACCCTGTATATCTCCATTATTCGAGCTAAACTGGTAAAACCCCTTAAAGGATTTGTTTTGGGGGTTGCCTAGATTCGATTTTTTCAGATTTGATCCCAGTTCATTTTTTGTGTTGCACAGTGTAATTTACCCAGTAATATAAAGGCCCTATAATAAGGTCTTGCAAGACTTTTAAATGTAAAGTTTTGGATTTTTTGTTAGAGTCTGAACCATATTGTTTAAATGAATATTTGTTAGTGGTTTAAATTTATTTCCTGTATGACATATATTTCTTAAATCTAAATTTTATACATTTGTATAATTACTTACCTTTTCTGAAATAAAGATGATTATTATTATTATTTGAAACTTCTTGTAAAACAATAGGTGTGTTCTTTTTTACTGAGATCTCAACTTACTTAAGTTAAAGTAAACTGAGATATAGTAACGTGAGAAAGCGTAAAAAAACGAAAAATTTGCAGTTCACTTAATTTAAATTTATATGGCAACACCGAACATAAACTTGTGTGGTAACGTGAATTAGATGTTTGCTCTGTGAAGGCAACGTAACCTAAACTTCAAACGTCAATTAAACAAACAATTGAACAACTTTGAATTTAATTTAAATTATAAATAATATAATATATTATACATAAACTTTTTATTAAATTTTAATGAAGACAGGCCTATTCAAGTAATGATATTTTAAAAACGTAAACAAACCCAGTAATTTCGTTATCCAATTCAAACTGCAGTTAACATGTTACCCCTGCACGGCATATGCAGTATCGGTGAGGAGGAAGCAAAATTCTTAGCCCACTTCGAAGTGAGTGAAGCAAAAGGAACGCGAACATTTGCAAATTTTACTGATGTGAGCAAAGATTAACTGAGATCTCAGTAAAAAAAAACCCACCTAATGTGTCAGGGTGTGCTAAAATATATAAAAGTGTGACGTCGTAACTGGTTGACCGTAAAAGCAAAGATTTTGAAATTTAAATGATTTTTAAATAATTATTACGAAGTGAATTTAAAAATAACTAATAACTAATAGACGCAGGTTTTGCATTTTGAGCAATATGTGCAGTTGTGCTTTGGTCTGAACTACACCGACTTTTTGATTAATTTGTGGAATTAAAGAGTCTAGAATTTCTTTATTAATTATTTTAAATTTTTTTACAATTTCTTAATTAAGTGTGTAGCAAGGATTTCTTCATCCTGAAAATAATAGTTTTATCAAAAACTGCATTTTTCAGAGTAACTCCTTAATTATATTATTTTTAACGAAAAGTTAATGTTTTTAAAATACTCACGTAAGTGCAAAACCCCAATTAGATCAAAATCACGAAGGACTTGAATTTCAGTTTGTAAATGGTATTTAAAATAATAAAAAATATCATTGTTAAATAAAATATGAAATAAATATTTCTGAGCAACAAAAATTTAAAAAAAATAGCCATAATATATTTTTAACTAACAGATTACTTAAAGTAATATGTATAAAAAAGCTAGTTAAAATAAAATTTGCTATTTCAAATCCAAACCGTTTGTCTGAAAGTTTCCACGTCTGCCAGTCTTTTGTCGAATTCTTCTAATTCGTTGATAGTTTTGAAAGGCAACATTTCTTCGATCTCTTCTGTTAAGTCCAAGTCTTCACTTATTGTACTGCTTTCTAAAATTACGAAAAAAAATAATAATCAGAATTTGAATAAAAGAAAATATAAAAAGAGTACAAGTAAACTAATTTATTAAAAAGTATATTGTGGGACAAGTATGAGCTTGAGAAGATTTCTCTAGCGTAAAATAAGCTGCACAAGCGTAGCAAGTGCGGTAACACGTAAGTGGATGCGTATTACCTACCGAGTACGCAATAGCTATTTATGCACTAGTGCATACAAGATTTTATTTGTTACTTCAAATAAAACTGAAAAAAATGTAGATCCAAGGCGTTATGACAAAATAACAGCTAAATGTAAAATAAAGGCCATTTTTTTGTATATTTAATATTAAAAACTTCAATTAATTTATACATAAAGGGGTAAGAAGCAAAAAAGAGAAGTGGAGTCATTAACCTAAAGTTTTTGCGATATACAAAAATCTGGATACCTACTTCTTTCAATGTTTGCATTAATCGTACAATTTTTAAGTTATGAGAAACTACCCAGTTCTGAACTTAACTTATTTTTATGCTAAAATGCACTTGTACCCTTTTGCTTCTTACCCCTTCACATGTCATTTATATGATATAAATTATATTATATATTTATATGATAAAAATTATATCAAAAAACACCCAAACAATATAAACAACAATCAGCGTCTATTTTTTTTCTCGAACATTGTAATAACAACAGTTGTTAAACAACTAGCTTGATTTACTATATTATCTACGATTTTTAGTTGATTGTTCTATTTTAGTAAAGAAAAGTAATAGTTTTATATTGAGTGGAAATAAATTCATTCACGAGCGTAGCAAGTAAATCAAATTTCCACGAGATATAAAATTTACTTTTTCGCATTAAACAGCGGGAAAAAAGTGAGTTTTAACCACGTGGAAATTTAATTTACTTGCTATGCTCGTAAATCAAGATATTTCTACTAAATAGAAAACTATTAGGTACTTTTTTTTCCAATCTACTACTTTGCTCTAAGAATGCGAGAGAAAAGCGTATTTTTTTGTATTCTTAATGCAAAAGCATTAATTAAATGATTAAAAATCATTATAGTCTCCCCTCTTCTTTTTCTTCTACAAGTAGGACGGATTTACGGGTAATCCCATCGCCCTGGTTCTAGACAAAAGTTTTTATAATACATATGTATATGTATATTAACCAGGTACTATTATTAACGTCCAATGATTTAAGTCCCCCATCCACCATTGGACAACGGTTGTCGGACACATACAGTGTGTATTAAAACGAATAGATACACTTAAATAAAACAAGTGCCAAACCCCGCCCACTGTATGCCCTTGTATCTGGCTGCATGCCGCGCTGTTGCCATATGCTATTATTGTTTCCTAAAAGGGTTGTTTTCTTATTTTTTAATATTAAAAGTAAGGAAATTAACTAAATCAAATTATTTTTGACATATTATTAATTTTTTTGTTATTTTTAAAGTTTAAAACAAATAAAATTGAACTATTTATTAAATAATTATAATCGTTCTCTTCTGATTTAAAACAACCTGGCAACTATGGTTCGTAATTACGAGTGGCTTGGTTTAAACCACGCCCAATTAAAGTTTGTTTCTTTTTCTCTGATCAGAATATAATTTGTCATCCTTGTCTCCAGCCTTACTTACTTGATTCTATACAATCTATATATGTTATCTAACCTTCAAATATAGCTTTATATAAATTCCTCTTTTTCTTTATAAACGGACCAATCGAGTAATATTATCGAGAAATACAAATATATTTATATTCCGAGAATCCAATTTTGTCACTCCTGGGTCAAAAAGTAATATATTTTTCATACTATTTCATGTCAGTTGAACCTAACCTAAAAATGGTATGACAAAATCATAAGAAATTATTCAATTACATGCTTAAAATTTTGTTAATAAAAATAGTATATAAAATCCAGCGGCGAAAGCTTGGTCTACAGGTACCTAGGTATCCTTCTATGTAATTTACAAAAGTTGGGTAATTACAAGTCTATTAAAATTAAATTTAAACATTGGATAAAAAACAGCGGTTCTCAAGTTATGAAAAAAAAAACTGAAAACCTGTCCAAACCAAAATCGTTGTAACTTTGTTATTCTTGAGAATTTAAAAAAAAGTAGGGTTCATGTAAAAATAGAAATTTATTTACATTTTCATCAAATTTTTGATTTTTTTTGCCTAGTGGATTTTGAGATACCACCACCATCTTTGGTTTTTCCTATGGCCGCAATATTGGAATTTTACATGATTAGATTGAAAAAAATCAGTCCAACGATATAGAGGGTGACCCATTTGTTTGCGACTCACCCCTATAAAATCTTTATTTATTGTGGGATTTTAACCTGATTTGTTTTAAAGTGTAAATCTTGATAAACTGTATTTTTGAAGCAAAAAACGCCATATTTTTATAAAATACAAGGCCTACTAAGTTAGTTTTTAAGTGTAAATTTTTAAGAATTCATATTATCGATTTTTTAAAAACAAAAAACTAAGCTCGGCACTAGATTCACCACCCCTCAAAACGACCCTATACTAAATTTTAATAAAAAATTGTCAGTTTTAAGAGTAAATTTTTAAGAATTTATATTATCGATTTTTTGCAAAATGCACATTAATAACTACAAAAATTTATTTTGTCAAGTTATCCATGAAAAAAAATAGAAATAAAATTAAACTAATAGTAACATGGTACTATTAATATAAGTTTAATTTTATTTCAATGTTTTTTTCATGGATAACTTGACAGAATATATTTTTGTAGTTATTATTGTGCATTTTTCTACATAAATTTTTTTAATAAAATTTGGATTGTAATTACGTAACTTTACTGTAATTTAACCAACCTATAGAAGGATACTTGGTGCACCCAGTATACTATTTTTTCATAAAACAAAATTACTACGGTTAAAATAAAATTTAAAAAAGTTTTGGAGGCGCCGGGTATCGATCCCGGTACCTCTCGCATGCTAAGCGAGCGCTCTACCATCTGAGCTACGCCCCCTGTTGTTAAATTTACTATATTACACGTACTTAAAAACCACCTTTAAGAATATTTTTAAGTAAATGTAGAAGAGCATTGGCAATTAATTTTTTAAAACTGGTTTTTGGGTTTAAAAGGAATTTATTTATCAAGCTGGTTTAATTAATTTTATAATTTTTGCGTGGGTCAATAAAAATAAAATTTCGTAAATTAACTTGTTTCTAGATTGATTTGTATTAATATTTTTATATAAAATATAATTTTTATATCGGTATCGGTTTATGCAAATACCTATATCCATATTCAATATAGGATGCAACACATAAACTAGAAAAAAGTTGCGAACCTAATTTAAATTTGTAATTTGAAAAAAAGCCAGCGGTTCATAAAATACCTACTTAAAAAAAACCTTTAAAAACCAATATCGTTATTCCTGGAAATTTTGAAAAAAGGTAAGTTTTACATGTAGGTAAATTTACACATTAATCTACATTTTCATCCAATTAATTTATTTTTTCTTCTTTTTACCATCTTTTGTTTTTATAATGGCCGCCATAAAAAATGTAGTTTGATACATAATTGGATTCCTTGATTTTTTCCCTATCTAACCATGTAAAATATAAAAATGGCGGCCATAGGAAAAACAAAAAATGATGGTAGTAAGTTACTACTAGTAACTTAAAATTCCAGTAGGCGAAAAAAATCACCAACTGGATGAAAATGTGGATAAATACATGTCAAACTTACTTTTTTCAAAATTCCCAGGAACAAGGAACAAGGAAAAGTTATAAAAGTTTTTGGTTTTTATGCAATTTAACTTAGAACCACCGATTTTTTTCTAATTTTAAAATGCCATTTTAATAGAAATATACCTAATTAGGCTTTTTTCTGATTTAAGGGACCTTGTAGCCCTTCAAATAAAAAATATACCCATACATACAAGGATATATCGTTGTATACTTGGTAAACCCTATAAACTTGACATTTAAAATTTTAAGCTCTTTAACTATGATTTCGCGAAAGAATCGAACGATTTTGGGGTATTTTTTTATAACACATCTCAGATTTTTTTTATATTTTAATATTGTGTTTATACATCTAATTCCAACCTAAATCTAAAATTTTTCTTTTATCTGACCTAAACTTTGGCTCCCAGAGACCATCTAATTTTACCTTTCGCAAAAAGCCATAATTTCATTATATTAGCATAATTTTTTTATTAAAATACTGAATGTTTTGAGATGTGGTCCATAAATGACCCTTATTAGTACCTACAATTCTACCAAAAAAAAAATTAAATTTTTTACATATAGGTGGCGCTGCAATTTTTTCTTCTTCAAAAATAGACGTTTTTTGAGGACCAAAAACTCTCTTAAGCAACAATGCTCAAAAAAACTAAATAGTATACCAGATAATATACATATTCCTTTATAATTTGATATATAAAAATTTACTTGCAAATGATGTTGCCGCCCGTAAAGCCAACTTAAAGTTTTGTTTACCGCATTAAAAAAAATTGAATTACACTTACAACTTTATTATTTATTAACTAAGGAATTCCAGGAGATTACTTTTATTGGTAACAATAACACAGCAAAAAAAAGTTTTATTTTTTCACACCCAGGGGGCGCTGCAGCCTTTTTTCTTTAAAAACTATATAGCATTTCAGATAATATAGTTATGTATTCCTTTATTATAAAGAGTTACGTATTCCATTATTTATTTAATAGGTTTGTTCTTTATTTTATTTATTATGTTTTTCTTTATTATTATTATTGATATTACTATTTCTTTATTATTTAACATATAACAATTTATCTGCAAGATTTGCATATATTAAATAATAAAGATATATCCTAATAATTATTATAATAATAATAATTATTACCTTTACATTAAATTTTAAACTTGTTGGGCTCTAAGGGGTATATTCGCTAACTTTTTAGTTATAAATAACCCTGGTTTATATCCTACTGACTGCAGCCGGCTGGTTCAAATCTCTAGAGCGATTCTCAGAATCAGTCTAGATATTTTAACCAGGGTTATTTATAACTTAAAAGTTACTTAGGCCGCAAA